TTATATATATACAAGTGTACACTTCGAGAAGGATTCATTTCTCACCGGATTTATTAAAATTTTACAGTGAGAAAAATGCAAGAGTATTAGAAGGCATACACTGTTTATTATTGGCATATGTAATAAATAAAAAACAATATGATACTATGCAGATAGCGGGCGTAGAAGGAAAGCTAAAAGAACGCCTAGAGAAGCTAGTAAACAAAAGATAGAAATAATGAATATAGTGCTAGAACGAAAAACTATAGTGGTTCCTCCCATCAAAGACTGACTGTATCTTATATCTCTTAACATTCGGTCAAAAGTCTCAATATTTCTGTTATGCCTCGTAGCGCATTCATCAAACAAAATCAAATGCCATTGTCTTATAAACCCTGCCATACTAAAAGTTTGGCTAACGTTGCAGATTGGATTTTCATTCGTATAAAGGTTAAATGGAAGTTCTACAATTTTGTATTAATGTGGAAGCAATTCCAGATGATGATTCACCAAGGGCAATTCTGCATTATTTTCTGAGTTTCACCAGTATCAAAGTTGATTCAAACGTTTTCCCAGTTCCATCTGGAAAATATCTCCGTACTGGTACCTAAATGTTTTTGTGATGGTGTGATATGCCATTCTTTTAGCCATGATTGAACATCCCAATATGATTTCGAAAATAATCATATGTCTTTCATTATGTGAGGTTTCCCTCAGATATTATGCTGTTAATCTGTTGCCCGCGCCAGTACCAGCCTGTAGAAGGCCGTTTTGGGTAATTGTTCACACCCTATATCCACGATTCGATTTTTAATATCAAATTTTGCAGACTTATAAAATTCCTTACATTAATTAAGAAAAATATCATGATATCTCAGCTGTGTCTGATGGAAGAGATTTTACTTATAATTTATTCCACAGACCTTGAGGGTCGCTGAAACCGTAGATTGTAATAGCAAAAGTAGATGTAATATTTTTGCACTATCGGAAACTGAAGTCGCTGAGAATGTTGCATCCTACTGACTATCATTCTCTCTTTCATAGCATGCTTCTATTTGAGTAGTGCAAACAATTCCATCAAAATATTGAATGCCTTCAATGGACACTGGACCTTGAACTTCATGTAACAAACGTTCTTGAGTAAAATCATACCTAACATTTTAAATTCAATGTATATACACAACCACCTTCGCTATCAAATCTGATATATGATTAGTCTCCAACCGGAGATCATTTTTATTTAGATTCAATTCTTAATTAATTTATTCCACGTGTAATATGATGGGACCTGGTAGTTATCTAATGTTCTGGCAAAAGGATCATTTGAACAGATTTTAAACAAAGCTGTCAAAGCTGTTTCTCTTGGATTAATCGCCTGTGCTGAAGCTAATTCAGGTGTAAAATAAATGTTGTTTCCTTTATCTATGTGTACTCCTACATGTTGGACACATTTCATAAATGGGAAAACTGTATATCATCCTGAAAGTTTCATTATTACTGATGTATCGACCTTGCTGATAATTATTATTGCATCTGTATTATTTTGCTATTGGGAACAAACATAGCAGCATCTGATACTTTGTTTATATGTTTGCATTCATACTTAATGGACTTTATAGAATTGCAAAATTGAACCTTGAGGTCTTCATCAATTATTTTCAAAAGGAATGGACAGTAATGGATACTTCACCCATTATCAATATTATACAGGTTGCCAAGCATTGCTTGAAATCTACCATCACCATGTTTTAATCTATATGTTGAGTATCCATCTTCACGAATGTGCGACGCCTGCATGAAGACTCTGCAATATATCTTGATATTTTGTGGGCACTACGAAGCGGAGTAATGGTTAGCAAGCTTGTATTGCGAGAACAATTACGATTGAGTTGTGAGTTCGATCTTCACTGGGTGCCCCATACTTTCGGCTTGTGCCGAATCTAAGCTACGTTTAGAAAACAATATCTTGATATTTCGTTATCTTTCATAACAGTAGAATCTCTAATCATTTCAAAACATGGTCCATGGACCATGTATGCTTTCATTTCATACGGTGGTATGACTTAAATTGGATCTGGTAGTTTAGCAAAAATGATGTGATCAATTTGATTGAAAAATCTTTCACCATCAACCAGGTTAAAATGTGATCATAAGGTAGCCCACGTTTTTGGCACACTCTACTGTGCATATGTTATGTAACTTGAGCAAATACTATACATTTTATGAGTAATTGCAACATGCTGATTGCTTTAAAGCCTAAAGACTCTGGATATAAGATAAAATCATGTTTATGAATATTTGACTGTTCTTCAAGCAATTCATTTTGAATTTCTTTCCATTTGGGATTGCAGTTGCAGATTATGAATAAATCTGTGTGGCAACATTGTCTAAGTCATTGCATCTTGAGATATTTCATGCTTGTGGACTTGTTATAAAACTGGATGGCAAGATAAAATGTTAGCCTAATTATGTTCCAGTAGCAGAATTATTGATTGCATCTTTCAAGTGAGCATACTCTTCACGTTTGAATTGTTTACGGCTCCTTCCAATGTATCCTAATCTCTCTGATTCAGTTTTGGCATATACACCAACATATTGGTGGAAATATTGTTCGCTTCTGTGTAGATGATTGAATGTATTCAGATGAATCATGAAATGCTAGGCATAGCAATCGATTGCAGAGTCTTGTTTTCATCAGCCTCTGTTCCACCTTTAGATGAAATGTATCCTCCCAATTTGCACATAGCAATGGATAATGAAAGTCATCCTATGAGTAATGAAGTTCAGTTGTTCTTTTTATTGTCTAATCCTATGAAGTATAATGCTACTTCTATTCTAGTCTCTTCATCTCTCAGTATTATAACATCATTACACTTAGGTGCATTACACCGCAGGGAATGCTCTCCAGGGCGTTTTCTTTTCTGCATGTATTTCTTGTAGCATACTTTTGGACAATAATGGGTATGCTCCGATTCTCATATATACAGTAGTGAATACTGTATGTTCTGGATCTACAATCTGCAGTTGGAGATTCTTTGTGGAATTCACTTAACTCACTTCTAGATGTTGACTTCTTCTTCTACGTGCTGCTGTCCCTCATGAATGACCTTAGCAACGAAGGACGTCATCCGGAATGTATTGTTGTATTTCCAGATATTTTTCTTGAAAGAACTCTGTTCACAAGAACTCAACAGAGGATCAAAATAATGTTCCAATCTAATATCGACATTAGAACAAGGTACTATGTGTGAAGTGAGGGTTCAGAAGCATAGCAATATGAAGGAAGATAATTAAATGTAGTTGAATTCCTCTGCATTCGTCTTCTTGTTTGAATACCTTGTATGGGTTTACCTTTGCAACGCTTGTTCCACAGATCCATTTTTCCTTTGTCGTTCAGTTCATATTTTTTGTGATGTCAAAGAATACTCGTTTCCACTTTTGTGATGCCAACGAATTCGTTGTCACTTTCTTAATGCCCGTTGTAGTTGAAACTTTGTAATCGTAGTATAGTGTAGTATAGTATAGTAACGCCGTTGGACAATACTGCTGTCAGATGCCTTCGAATAGCACACGCACTAATAGTACTTGCTCCAAAATACTCGTTCGAACAGTAATTCGTAGGGCGATCCGAATAGAGGAATAGTGAAGTGAATAGAGTAAAGAATAGCGGTCCGTATATTAATAGAGGATAGATTTGATATAGCGATCCGCATAGTATTTAGACGTCACGCTACCTCCTACTTATGCGTTTACTATATGGTCACGTGGTCTACTCAATTCAATAATAAGATCGCCTGTGTTTGCTCACTGGCGATCTATGTTCAAAATCTATGTAGCGACATATTATTTCTATGTAACAATATTCTTTGATTTTGACGTCGTAACTATCTTCCTTTTTCAGATTCTTGCTGTCTTAAACGCTCAGATTTGACCCTCAGTCCTTCACGTCTCTCTAACCTTTGCTCTTCTGCTCATTGATATACGCGATGTTCATGTTTATCTTCGTTTCTCAGAGACTTTCTTTCTCAATTATTCAGATCTATCTGTCTGTCCTTGAAGTCGTTGTGATCTTCAGGTTCTTTCTACTACTGTTTTTCACCTCTGGCCCTTTGTTCTTTCAGTCGAAGTAACCTTTCCTCCGCAGTTTCAGCTGGTCTCTGGAACTCCATTGAAAGAGCATTAATCAATTTCCTTCCTAATGATGATTTCTTCTTTGAAGGAATTCTTTCTTCAAAAAAGTTGTCCAAATATGTGCTATCTTTTGGCCTAGGTTTCTGTTATTTTCCATTCAATTTAACAAATTGGTTCTAAAACAGCTTGTTTCAAAACAATCAATGTTATTTCTTTGGTATATGTCACTGTCACTTGATGAATTGAAAGACGTTTTTCGATCAGAAGCTTGATAAGTAATGCAACTGGGGTCATTGATTAATGGCCTATTAAATATTTATTATATGTAGCAATTTCAGATTTGTTCAGAACAAAAATAGACAAGTATAGACCTTTCAAGAAATAATTGGACCATATTTTTTCCATAGTAAAAGCCATAATATTCTGTCAGCATTGGAATGGGTGAAAAAAGGTTCCTTCCAAATTTTGGTAAAAATTCCATAATTTCTTACAATGCACATAAAACGGTAATGAGAAACAACTGGAGACTCACTTCTGAGGGTTTTTTTTTCGCCAGCCGCAGGAACGACGGTGCTTCACATGCAGTTATTTGAGTTTTTGTAGAAAAATCCTGATATTTTGCAATTTCAGAATTTCTAAAACCAAACATGACTTCTAGTAATTGCTCTGAGAGAATTTAAATACGCCATGCCGTCCGGTCACCCCAAAACTAAAATTCATCTTTCTGAGCATGTTTTAGTAGAAAATAAGTAAACATCACACTTGACCAGCGTGCGGTTGGCGTTATGCTCGCCTCAGGTGGCCCAATATATACCTTTGTCTGTAGAAACTGAAATCCAAGATATCCGGCCATTGTTAAGCCAGCGATTGGCTTAATGCCTTCCTAAAGATCAATGGATGTAGGGAACGATATATATATATATATATATATATATATATATATATATATATATAGAGAGAGAGAGAGAGAGAGAGAGAGATAGATAGATAGATAGATAGATAGATAGATAGATAGATAGATAGATAGATAGATAGATAGATGCGTGCGTCTGGGCTTTTATTGCTTGCGTGCAAGTGTGTTCGTGTGAGATGTGTAATAGTATGCAGATGTGAAGATGATTAGACTGAATGCAAATTTTATCAACGGCGTGCTTTGCCAAAAAATCTGATCTCTTTGGCTTCTTCAGTTCAGAAGGAGAGAAAAAAAGACAAGATACAGCTTTGTCATTTTTGTGGGAGAAAATAGATGTTCTCGGAGATAAGCGTCATCAATATATGTATATATATATATAGAGAGAGAGTGATTGATAGAGAAAGATACAATAAGAATGGGCCTTCGTTCATTTTCTAAAGAATTATGCTTATCGATCTGTTGTAGTTGTAATAAAAAGACAATATTATTAATCTTATTCCCGTCAATAATTTCTTCGAAGTTGTCGGTATACTTTATACGTTCAGGTATTCTTTCTTACTGTCTATTTATCATATTTTTAAAAGATTTCCCGTTAATATTTCAGATGATACCTTGTTTTATGCTTGCTTGTGTTGTTTCGTTTTTCATTGATTACGGTTTTTGAGAATTTCTTTATTCCACTTTCTTCTGTATACTTTCTTTTTTCCCCGCTTCGATGACATATCCTTGTAACCCAGACAATATATTAATACCTGCCTCGATCAAAAAAATCAAACAGCAGAAAATAAATCACTGACAAATAACGAAGTGATTTTACTTCGCCAACTGACTCCTCTGATTAGAAATAGTACTTCAAAATGAGATATAAACTGCTGAGCTAAATATAAATCTATTAGACATTGGGATTGTTAATTGATACTTATATTAAAAATGTTAAGTCTAAAACGTTTTAAGCAAATTATATTTGTAAACTATTATTAATTTCCTCTGAACTAAGGGATTGCTCGCTCTCACATATTTTACAAATTGCTATGACACTCTCGAACAAAAATGTTCACGACAATCTACAAATTACTACATTTTACTTTCTGTGAATTTCAATGAATTCTTCAGAAAATTAATGAAGTAGCTATATTTTGACTGCTCTGCGTTCTTGAAAATACCTTCTCACATCTCTGGGTCAGCCAAGACTAGAGGGGCCAGTGTGTTTAACCCCTTGTTAATAAGAAAATAGATGAATCTCATGTCCTCCCAACTGGTGTTAGACTGCGAAGTAAACGCAAAATGTAGCCCAGAAAACCGACTACAATTTCAGCGTATATATTTTTAATCAACTCACTCACGCACAAAAGTTATTCTCTTTTTAATTATTGTAGTAATCATATGTATAATTTCACCAGTTAATTAACAATTTACTTACTTCAATTACTTTCTCAAATGCCACTGTGGTACATTTTGAGACAGTACAAATTTTCAATATCAAAGGGCACATAAATTTTTTCTGAACAAAAAAAAAACAAAAAAAAATTAACACGAACATGTTTTGCACACTGACAAGTAAACATTAGAGGGAATATATCTAGTCGGGATTCTTATATAATATTTTTATATTCATGAAGCGTAAAATTATCACCGGGATTAAACATGAATTGATAATCCGTAACATTAACACTAAAACATGAGTTATCCTTTTAAATGATCTCGTCAGAACGAGGCTTTCGTACAGATGTCATGCATGGTACCAAACATTATCAAAAATTCAAATTCAATACAACCGCTTTTTGAAATCAATGCTTAAAAATGGCTTCGCGTGTATGACGCATGTGATTCTTAGCAAAAGCGATTCTTCTCCGAACAATGTAGACTGGCGCTACAGAATCACAAATGGCTGTATCAGATAACAGAGGATTTTCAACAGATGCTACAAGTAAAATGGATGATAACACATGTAAATCGAAGAGAAAATAATGACATAATCAAAATGTTGATATTCCACACTATTTCAGAGAAATGGTTAGGAAGGAAATCCCCATCAATACTGGAAAGAGTGAAAGCAGCTATTGGACTTGAGAAACCTATTTTCCTGAAAAAGTTCAACCGAGACTAGTATTGGTTGCTCTGTCAATGAATATCAAGTGTTTTCTTTTCATCTAACGGTTAATACTAGAATTACAATGTTTACAGTATAGGATCAGTTCAGTTCATAAATTTCTTGTGCAATAGAATTTACTGGGCAAATGTGCGAATACGTTTTTTCGTCTTAATGAAGGATAATAGTAATTGTATGAAGAATTATATTTCACTTATATAGATTATTGGATTATTATGAGACACAGGGAAAGAACACCTTGTAACAAAGCAAATAAAATCTCTTTATAATCTATATATAATCCGGGTTGATTAGAACCGTTTTCTTATATATCGGAGTTTTATTGGAATGAGTGGAAAGGGTTCTGATTAGTCTTAAAATTGCCTTATATTGCTGAATGCTTTTGTTAGCCTATCCGGGACTACTGTACATAAAATATGCACAGAAGACATATAAATCAACCTGTTAGTTTTTTCCGATGAATTCCTACATATTTTTAAAAATAATTCCACCTAAAATAAGGCGTTAATGCAACTAAGGGGTAAAGAGTTCCTGGCAGTAAAAGAGATGGAGAAAACTTTAGTTAAGAGATTGGAACATAAAAGAACAATGCTCAGAAAGACAGGAAGTAGGGACGCCATATTTGCAGTATTTATTTAACGTGTATTTGAACATTAAAACCCACCCTGTACTGTTAACAACCCACCCATTACAGTACTCTATTAATAAAAATGACAACTGTTATCAATAACACTTTAGATTAAAACAAAATAAACATTGTTACTGTACTCGACACATAGAAGTTGAATTAAAATTTGAATCGTGATGCGCAATAGAAATGATACTGATGTAGCTGATGATGAGTTCTACTGTGCAGCCGATGATTGTATTTTACGTCTCTTCAGACGGCGATGCCCTTTCCTGGGACTCCACTTCCAATTCTTCCGAAAGTGGAACCGTAGTAGTAGCAGCAGGAACTGGATCTTTTTTTGCGAGGCTGGAAATATATTGTGATAGGAAGTTGCTGCCTCTGCTTCTTTCTCCGTTCAAAGAGCATCTCGTCGGAATTCATAACTTCGTCGAGCTTGTTGCAAAATTGCACAGAATGAACCATATCGTTGTCCCATTCCTGTGACCCCCTCTTTCAATTCTTTCGCCAGGTTGCAGAGCTTGGCTAGCCGTTCTAATTTCAAGCCAGTTTGATCGACTTGCAGCGTTTCTTCTACTTCTTCGATGGCCGATTTCGTCAAGTCTTCAAGGTTTGCGTCGGTTAGCGGCTAGGAGTGGCAGTCTAATAACTTGTCGATGTCTCCCGTGGTCATGTTTGCAAAGCTGTCATGTCCAAGGATCGCAGCCAACTGCAAAGTTTTCTGTACTGCGGAGTGATGGATTTCGGTAGTTTTAAATCCCTTGTCGTCGTAAATAACCTCGGGCCATAAATTCTTACAGCTCGTGTTAATGGTGGCATGCTTCATTTCTTGCAATGCCTTCAGGATAACTTGGAGGCACGTAGCAATTGTGTACTGCCAACAGTGTGCCTACAAGTTAAAATATCCGTCTTCATCTTTTCGGGCGGCATCCACAGAAGCAACCAGGCTCGCCAGGACATTCCTCGTGTATAAGGCCTTGAACGCCCTGATAACCCCCTGGTACATTGGCTTTAATCTAGTGGCGTAGTTTTAAGCGAGGAACTCAATCTGAATGCCTTCATGCGACAAATCAATAGCATGGCCACCAGCATTATCCATAAGGAGAAGGATATCGAATGGCAAGCCCTTCTCTAATATATACACTTTGACTTGCGGGATAAAACACTGGTGGAACAGTCGAAGGTCAGCATCTTCGTTATTCACGCCTTTGGATTGTGCATCCAATGTACGGGTAGCAGCTTCTTGTTTTTCTTTTTTAAAGCCCTTGGGTTTTAGACTTGTAAATAAGTCCTGGCTTTAACAAAACTCCAGCAGAATTGCGACACATCATGAGGGTCACACGATTCTTGTATGCTTTAAAGCCAGAGGCTTTTGCTTCCTCTTTGTACCTGAAAGTTCCCGACGACATCCTTTTCCAAATCAAGACCGTCTCGTTCATATTAGAAACTTATTCGGGCGTATATCCACCTTCGGCGATAATCTTCTTGAAAGTTTCATTCACGTATGTTTCAGCAGCGCTCGTGTCAGCAGAAGCAGCCACGCCATAGAGGGAAACGCTTTTTAGGCCGAAGCGTTTCTGAAACTTAGCAAACCACCCTTTGCTAGCCGAAAAAAGAACTTTTTTTTAGGTTGTGAATAACTGGAAGTCCGTGGTTGCGAATGTTCTACGTCGTCTTCGTCTTCTTCTTTTTCGTCGTAGTCGTCACTGTCGTCCTCAGGTTCCTTAGAGGCGAAAGTCTCGTACAGGCTCCTAGCCTTTTTTTTGGATGATATTCGTATGCAAGATTATGTTCTTCTTTCGGAAGTCGGCTATACATACGTCCAACGCAGCTTCCATACAGATGATAGTTGTATTACGAGCCGTAACCACTCTCTTCGCCGACTTATTAAAGGGGATGACAGCCGTCTTCCGAATGTTAGCCTCGTACTTCTTGATGTAGCGAACGGTGGATTCGTTCACGCTAAAATGGCGGGCTACGGTAGCGAATGTTCTCCCTTCCTTCAAAATATCCAGAAGTTTCATCTTATCAGCGATCGTCATCATATTTCTCTTGCGTTTAGGCAGAGTACCAGCCTTGAAAGGAGCAGCACGCTTGGGAGCCATTGCAGAGAATGAAATTTCACACACGGCAGAGCGTAAATTAGTACAGAAAACCGCTCGATGAGAAAGATTGAAGCGAAATGGCCGCGAGAGAGAGACAAGTGAAGATGCTGCGGATCTGCGCATCGGTCAAAGCACCAATCTCAGGCCAGATTACAAAATAGAAAGCTGTGATTCGTCGTCTCCCTCCATTGCACCAATCACAGCCCGTCTTACAATGCACGTAGTCACCGAGATGGTACGCTTTGCGTTTTCTCCACAACATGATACGGGGATACTGTATGCACATCGCATTCTAGATTGTTCCTTTTTTTTGTCATGTGAGTTACAAGTTCAAATACCACTGCATATGTTTTGTTTTTCTTTATGGCTATTTTACGTTTGTTTTGTTGTTCCTAGTCTAGGAAATAATAGTTATTAATATTTTAATGGATTTAATGAGAAATTTTAGGTGTTCATGTATCGCGATTTTTCTAGAATTTTCCAGAAACTCCATGATATATTTTCTTTATATATATTTAAAAAATCCGCGAACCGTGAGTTCGCGATAATAGAACCGCGGATTAGCGAGGGATATCGGAATTAGAATAGAACATATGGTTCCATATAGCTAGTACCTCATTAATGCGATGATACCTCGTTACCAATCTAGTAGTATGCTTAAGTTCATGCAGTCGAGATAGCAAGGAAGAAGAAAGCGCATTAGGACAATGTCCATGAACATCCTTATAGACAAGAAAAAGCGAATCTAAGCTCCGAAATCGAGATACCGTGTCAAGATCAATAACATTGCTGACCATTATTTAGATTTTGTCAAGAATCTCGAGATATATAGCAGAAACACCAGACCAGATACAACAGCAATATTCACGTGTGAGGAAGATGGATTCTGCGGGGAGAAATTTTCTGGTGCGACACAAGGGACCAACTTCCTTAGTGGCAAAATCAATATAATTCCTCTAGTAATAATAACTTAAAAAAAAATCCTCAGTAAACTGACAAAAATTAAAACAAAATATTAAGACTACAAACTGAATATTTAGAAGCAATAAAAAGATAACACCAACAAATATATGAGGCTGTTCGGAAAGTAATTTTGTTTTATAGACATGCGATCAAAACAAACATAAATTCATCTATATATCGTTTTTCAAAAGAGCAATCACCTGTTTTTCAACAGCTGCGTTGCAATACGAACGTCAATTTTCTATTCTATTCCACGTTCAAAGGAATTTAGGATTTTACCGTTGAGAAATTTTTCAAAAATTGTTTTCGACATCTTTTTTTTTCTCAATGTACTTTCCCTTACGCAATGCTCTTGTTATCAAAGCAAACGTAAATCTCTAGGTGTTAAATCTGATGAGTGTGAATGATGCGGAATAAACTCCTATCTTTGTTTGAAGAGTGTTTCCTTGTGTTATCAGTCTGTGGAATGATTTTTCTCTGTTTAATAAAGCACAAGACTTTCGACGTAAAGTTTCGTTTACCCGATTACGATATTGTCAAAAGTATGTGAAATGATCGCATGTTGATTTTGTAATAGATCCTAACTGAGCATCCTTTTAATATCACACCTGATAAAAGACAAAGTCTTCTGAAAATGATAGCCATTGTTTTTATTATATTAATAATAGTTTCTCATTTTGTGATAAGCGCTGTCTTTTTTTACTGCTGACATGAAAAGTCCATATTTCTCACCTTTAAAAAAAATGAAAAGTCTACTTTTACTCACCTTTAAAAATGAAAAGGGGGCTTTCCTGATTAATCGATTGCCGCAGATGTTGCAACGTTGTCTTAGATTCTCAAACGAAAGTAGATCAGGAACAGAAATTTCTTCTTACATGTTTTCACAAGTAAGGTGAGTAGTTCCTGAACAAGTGAACAAACATGACGCTTAAGTTTCTGCGCCAAGGCGCAGTTGCTTTAATGTGGACCCATATCAATAGACCATTTACACCTGTCTTTATTCACTGTGGTTAATTTTCCACAGCCAGCCATTTTGGATATACCATAAATGCTATCTTTGAAACTTTTGAACTACAGCTGAATTTATGTTGGTATAAAGGGGAGTGGCACTGAATCAAAAATTGGTAAGCCCTACTATAATTCTACACGGGTTCTTTACATTCCCTTTCATGCAAATACATTTAGGAAACATTTGAATCTTCACCACTTTCGCAATGTGTAACTAGTAGTGCATACTTGACTCTATAACCTTGCTTCGTAACCAGTCTAGGAGAAAGCTGCCAAAATAAAGCCATTGCTCCTACGGCTGCCTTAAAGTTGCTGCTCCTACGATACGAATAGTTTACCAGAATTGTGATCTTGAGATTACATACGAGACAGCACTGCGTCTTGACAGACTGTGCAGATGTTTTTAAATCCTTGTACAGCATTACGAATCTTTGGAATTAATACATTAAGCAATAGTGAACATGATTCTTTTGTGTTTTTTTAGTTATTATCCATTATGGGGTTAAACTTTGAAATATGCTGTAAATTACACAATGTCGGATGGAAGAGATGTTAATTCCAGACACAGATTCGAACCATTCAACATTGGTTCTTTATTCTGTTGCAGGTTTATAATTCATAATGGATACATTTCTAAAGAGACTAATATTTTAAAAAATCTATGTAATCTAGCTTTCTTCTTCTTCACCCAAATGAAGAATTATTGTAGCATTTTGTGTAATTTTAAAATAATTGGCGTTAAAGTAAAAACATAAGTTCGAACATATGTTGAATCTAAAACCATTGCAGACATTATGCAGAGGACAGAATTGTATTTATTTTAAAGTCAGAAAAAAAACCATTGCCGTTTCGGAACATAAAAAATAAATAAACGTCAGTAAAAGACTGTAAAATTCTTTCACTTCTTATTTCCTCGTGATTTATGCCTTGTCGGAGAGTCAGCAATGATACTTATCATATACAGCGATTTTAGCAAAGAGTAAACATTAAAATAATACAAATTTGTCAAGTTGGATTTGACAATATTAAAGAACGACTCTTGTCTGATTCGAAGACATTTATCATGAACATTATTTTGTTAACACCTCATTTTCGCTCACGTCTCTCTTTGATAAAATCAGTACAGAGATTAACATTTTCTACAGACTTCTACGAAATTATATTTTTTCCCGATTTTCATCCTAACTCGGGTTTAGCATAATTTTCATCACGTTTTCTCTTGCAAAAATCAAAATGGAATTATTCAGATTAAATTAGGATTTTCAACTGAATATTCCAAATCAAGTAAGGACAAAATGTAGAAGATGAAATCTAAGTTAACGTAAGATTTATTAGTCGATTCCAATTTCGATTGCTCAGTATGTTCTGGTAGACATTAAAAAATATTTACTGTCCATCTAGAAAGATTTAGTAAGAAATTGAATAATACTTTCAGCATATCTTGAAACTATTAAAAAATGATATGGTTGTATTAAGAAAAATTCAAATCGGCATTAAATATTCAAAGAGTTCTTCAGAATGAACATAACTGGATCAAAATACTTATCTTATATATATATATATATATATATATATATATATATATATATATATGAACTATTCTTAGCATGTATGGTATAAGTCTAAATTAGTTGGGAACTTAGAGCATATCACCCTAACTAATACAGTAATGTATACAACAATATTTTTAATATTCTAAACGATTGGAACCTGGGTAAAGAAATCTGAGTTGGGGTTGAGTTTGAATTCGAGCTGATTTCGTTGCCATCATTTTTTCAAAAATGCCCTTCTCAAGTATATGAATATCATTACTTCTCCCGCCTCAGTTACTCAATAAATAAATATTATTGATGTTTACTTAACATCATTTTGCTTGATACAAGTTCAAATGAATGTCCTCTCCATTAATGTAATCATGGTCTTTTAGATTTCTAATACTTTCTTCAAAGAGAGTGAATCAGTATTATTATTTACAAACATTAATTTGCAAGATTAACATCAATAGTAACATTATGAAACCTAACTGCTACCATAGCACCAAGCTTAAAATACCTGAAGTCGATGTTCTGATGAAGAAATCTCACCAGAACAATTGTCATGGAAATAATCATATAAAAGAGAGTTACATTATGATGTTGGGAAAGTGAGTGAAGCCGTGATGCGGAGTTTAAAGAGAAAACATTGAATATTCTACTTTGAACTTTGGCAAGGTACCTATCAGAAGTTTCTGAGATGTGGCAACCATATTCAATGATTTGTCGAATGATAGATTCTTAGAGGTGCAAAGAGGTAGCGAAGAATTCTTAATCATCACAGAGTGAAAAATAACGATTTTTGATTAAACCGTAGGCTGCGGCTCATCTCCTTTATTTTTTTACACGCACTGTAGATCAACCCAGTAATAATCATGATGATGTTGATGATAACGTGGCTTCTGTGGTGACTCATCTAAGCTCTCGGTTCAGATAACTGTAGTCCTCATTTGGATGTGATCGATTTTGAGTGTTAATATAGCTAAAACTTTAGTATTCTTGAGGTTGCCGATATTGATCAAATCATTTTACATCAGAGTAGCAAATATTTCCTCACACGAATTGATTTATTGATATAATTTACCAGCTACAATTTACGCGGGTGTAATTCTAGATGTATTTGTACCTTTTAAATTTGTCTCCTTGTGAGTGACAGATATTAGTTTTCTTTTTTTATTTTATGCGTTGTCCTTTTAAGGTGCGGATGATTGTGGATCTCCAGATCTTATTGTCTCTTGTAGCTCTAGGCTACCTCTGACATTTTTTCATGTCAAATGATACTTCTCTGCTATAAATAGACAAACTCGATAGGTATATTTTGTAACCTAGAGAAGTGTGCTGAATAAAATAATTAATCGAAGGTTAGTTGAACGGTAATACACATGACAAGAACAACACATATAAGATTCGCAAACGGCGCGTAGAAGAATGAGTCAACTGCTATAAGTGAGTCAAGTGAATTCCACAATGAATCTCCAACTGCAGGATATCAACCAACAGCAACCTACGCTCAGATATGGAAGAAGGCCGAATTTAATGTGGGGTATCCGAGGCCGTAGACTTGGCCAAAAATTCCCCGTACACCAGCTTAGATGGAGACTAATCTCCAACTGAAGGATA